CGGGGCCCGCGGGCCGACAGTCCCCGCGCCCCTATGGCTGCGGCCGCCCGGCTTGCTGGTGCGCTCTGGCCCGCGCCCCTGGGCGCCCGGCTCCTGGAAGCCCAAGCCGGTCTCGCTCCGCCCGAGTCCTCTCTGCCTCGCTGCGTTTTCGTACCTCCGCCGCCCCCTCCCCGCCGTCAACTCCGCCCCTGCCCCCCCCTCCCGCGGTCAATTCGACCTTGCGTCTTTTTGCCGCCCCCTTCCCTTGCGCCTGGATCCCCCTTTCCCCCGCCGCCCCTGGGCTCAGACCCCGTCGCCCCAGCTCTTTGCGGTCCACACCCCTGCTGTGCTCTCGGGGACCCGCCGCAGCGCTGCTGGGGTTCCGGAGTCCTCCATTTGGGTGAACTGGTTTGGAACACCCCGAACGCGCGGAGCCAATTGCCTCGCGCTCGACATCCCCGCCTCCCCGCCCCCGGAATCCTCGCGCTGCCTCGCCCACCCTTCAACCCATTTCACGGAGGAGGAGCGAGCCTCCCACCGGCCTTGTGGGGAATTCTAGGGCCGTCAGGGGTCCTGTGTCCCCGGCTCCTCCTGCTTCTCGCCTGCTGCTCCCGCCCGGACCATTCCGCTCAGATCTCGGCAGGTTGGGGTGAGGCAGTCTCAGGGGATGGAGAGGGACCCTCGGAGACCAGTCGGGAGCCGGCGGGTCCCCAGAGAAGAGGCGGCGCGCGTATTGGAGTGGAGTCCTGGGGTCACCATCCTCTTCGGTCCCCTCGTCGTCTGAAATGTGCCTGGGGAGGAGGGGGGTGGTTTCAACCTGTATGCCCCTCTCCCCTCAAATCCCAGAGAGAGTGAACTGGCACCCTGGGTTGGACACGCAGTGCCGGCCCCAACCTCAGCGCCTTGCTGTCCAGAAGTGGGGGTTGGCTGTGGAGAATCACTCCCAGGGAAGCTCTGAGTCTCAGGTGCTGGATGACTTTAGCCTCATCTTGGGGAGCAGTGGCTGCCTTGAATCCCCAGCGGAGCCCAGAATGACCCTTGCTGGGTCTGATGGTGGCTGCCTGGGTGGGGGGTGGGCCCCCACTTCCCCCACTGGGCCTCTGGGGCAGGGGTGGGATGGTGATGCTTTAGACCAGCTGGAGGCAGCCTTTGGAGGTTGGAGCTGGAGGCTGTGGCTGCCCTTCCTCCCAGCTGGAATGGGGCACAGGTGTGACCACATCGGTGCCACTCCTTAGGTGACCCCAGCCCCTATCCCCAATTTCTGCCTCTCAAATGGAAAAATTTGTACTGGCCACCCCACATGGCCACTCTGAAGGCGGGTTTGTCTTTTCCTCTGGTCCATTCACATCATTGTCCCTAAGGAAGAGACCCTGTCTCAGAGAAAGGAAGGTGGTGGCACCTTTGTCATTCACATGGGGCCATCCTTTGATGAAAGAAACAAAGGGAACCTCCGATTTGGGTGGGGGAAGTTTAGAGACTTTTCCATTTGGCTCTGGATTTGGGGAGACCCTTACATAGCCCCTCTGCAGGCAGCCTCCCCTGGGCCCATATGGAGGTGCTGGGTCTGTCCCGTCTTCCTGGCCAGCCTCTCCCATTCCTGAGAAGGTGCTTCCTCTCCTGGCTAACTGCAAGCCTTCTGAATTGGTCCTGTGTCTACCTTAGTGAGTTTCCTTCTGACACCTCCAGATTCTACCCCTGACCCCTTACACACTGGGACACCTGCAAGTAAAGTGAGCTGGCATTTAAGAAACTGAACACGCCTGGCCACCTTCCATGGCTGCTAGACCTGTATTCAAACAGGCCGTACCTCCAGCAGTTTGCCTTCCTGAGTGCTGGGTGCCTTGCAATATGGCTCCCCCACCTTGATACGGGGCTCCAGGCCACATGGTGGGGTCACCTGGGAGCTGTACAAGCACTGAGGCCCAGCCCTGTCCTCCAAGAGACTCTGACCTGACTGGTGTGGAGTGGAGCCTAGGCTTGGAAAGCTCCCAGGTACTTCTCAGGTGCACAGATGGAACATTTAAATAGATGGAAGAATGGAAAGACGGGCAGCCTGGGGCCATAGTACACAGATATTTCTTTGCCTCTAGGGAGGTGGAGGAACAGGTCAGGAGAAATGCCAGGAAAGCCGGAAAGATAACGCTCTGCCCAGAGAAGCAAGGAGTTGGAGATGGGTGAGAGGCAGCGGGGAGCAGCTGGGGGCCGACAGCTGTTCCTTTCCAGGACACTCAATATTTATCAGAAGCAGAAACCAGCCTCTACCTCTTTCCACTAGGAGACCCAGAGAAGCTTCATGATAAGTAAAAGCTCCGGAGATCAAAGTCCGTTTATAAAATGCCTCTCAGTCTGCTGTCCTACCCATTGCTGCCAAGTGCATACACTGCATCTATCTTTGGTCTATTGGATGCACACACTGGGTCTATCTTTGGTCTGTCAGATGCACACACTGGACCAGCTTTTGGTCTGTTGGATGCACACACTGAGTCTGTTTTTGGTCTGTTGGGTGCACACACTGGGCCTGTCTTTGGTCTGTTGGTTAGATGTCTGGCATAGGGCTCAAATAGCTTCCTGTACATTGTCAGGAGTGGCATGGAGCCAGAACTGGGCTGGGTCTCAGAGACTTCCCACTGCCACAGGACTAATGGAGTTTCTGGCCTAGTGATGGGATTGGTGAGCGAGGGCCTTGAAGCCCATCAGGTGTGAGAGGCTGAAAACCTCACCTCCCACCTCCATACTCCTGATGGGCTCCTCATAATGGGAACCATGTGCCACCTGGAGCTCCCTCAGGCTGGGAGACACAACGCCCCTGGAGACAGCAGCCACCATGAGGAGGGTGACCCTGGATGCAATGACCACAGTCTCTGAGAGCCATCTCTGTCACCTGTTAGTGTGGAAAACCACAGGAAGTGTTCTCGGCAACTCGGGGCAACTCTGACCATTCTGCCACTGTGTGTATTAGAGGCATAGCGCACTGGGGCTAAGTGTGGTATGTAGTCAGGGTGGTGTACAGAGTCGTCTTTGTGGATGCAGACAGTGTCTTCAGGCTCTCAATTGAACTCTGAGGTCCGTCTAGACGGTGCTGTGGTAGGGAGCCCAGTCCACCCCAGAGACCCAACTGTTATACCAAATATGAAAATGATGGCTTCCTTTAGATCTTGTTAAATGAACTCCTTGTAGGAAACTGAATCTAAAATCAGATGAGACAGGGGAAGAGTCAGCTTTGAAAAGATGCGGTCTTGGGTGGGTGACTCTGGTGAAGTGTTGAACAAGTCTTCACATTCTCTAGACCCTGCTGTCCATCCCCTCAGAGGCCTCGGCCACAGGCCACTGGATGAGGTGTGAACAGCTCCCTGCTTTGTGGGACATGGCTTCATGCTGTCTCAGCACTTCATAGTGCTGTGTGTAGGAAGGGAGTGAGCTAGGAGATGAAAGCCAGGGTTTTTATCTGGAATCCTCTACTTGGGCTGAGTGAGGGCGGCGGTCTTAAAAGTGCAGCCCTGCACCAGTAGCTGGAGTCTCACCTGTTAGAAACGCATGGTCTGGGATCCGCGCAGACCTGCTGGATAGCAGGTGCAGGGTTGGGGCCAGGCCATCTGTGTAACTGCCAGCCCCGGGGACGCTGGTGACTCTCAGGTCCCAGAGCCATGGGCTTAGCCCTCCTGAGCCTAGTTTCTTCATCTGGTTCATGTCCCAGAGCAGAATAGGAAAGAGAATTTTCCATATGGGCTTTCTGATATCTCAGGACTCCTGCTGGCCACAGGGGCATGGTGCACTTGAACTGTGGTGAGTTCAGATCCAGAGGGCCCGTGTCAGACGCCCGCAGGATTTCTTTTTTTTTTGAGTTGGAGTCTCACTCTGTCGCCCAGACTGGAGTGCAGTGGCTACTCCCGGCCACTGCAGCCTCACCTGCTGGGCTCCGGCGATCCTTCAGTCTCAGCCTTCCGAGTAGTCAGAATTACAGGCATGCGCTACCACGCCCGGCTGATTTTTTTATTTATTGTAGAGATGAGGTCTCGCTGCCCAGGTGGGTCTTGAACGCGCGGGCTCAGGCAATCCACTCACCTCAGCCTCCCAAAAGTGCGGGATTACAGGCTGAGCCACCAAGCCCGGCTGCCCCCAGGATTTCAAAGGTGGAGGATGAGAAAAGGTTGTTAACTCTCTCTTTGACATATCTACATCTGTGACAGGTTGGAATGATAATACTTAAACACAGAGCTAAGATAAGGCATACTGTAACTTGAATTTTACCTGTTTCTTTTCTTTTTTTAAGTCAGGGTCTCACCCTGTCACCCAGGCTGTAGTGTAGTGGCATGATCGTGGTTCACCATGGCCTTGACCTCCTGGGCTCAGGCGATCCTCCTATGTCAGCCCCCTTGAGGAGTTGGGACTACAGGTTCATGCCAGGCTAATTTGTTGATTTTTTTTTTTTGGAGAGATGAGGTCTTTCTGTGTTGCCCGGGCTGATCTTGAACGCCTGAGTTCAAGCAGTCCTCCTACCTTAGCCTCTCAAAGTGCTGGGATTACAGGCATGAGACACTGTGCCTGGCCTCTTTTTACTTTTTAAAATGTGGCTACTTGAAGTTTTAAATTCCATTTGCCCCTCACATTGCATTTCTACAGCACCATATACCTTCAGGATGTGACGACTTTGACAGCATGCCACCTGATCACAAACAATGCCACTACATCCTTGCCCTATGCTGTCAGTATGGCGGCCATGAGCCCCTCGTGGCTCTTCGAATCTAAATTAATTAAAGTTAAATGAAATTAA